ACCCGCCGCTCTCTATGTCCTTCATCGCATAGCCACACACCTGCCTGAACCACACCACCAGGACATGCCTTTCCGCCATTCGATCCAGTTTCCGATTCCGGGGCCTCATTCCACCTGGCCCCTCCAGACCGATGCTTGCACCCTTCCTCGCCCATCCTTCTTTCCGATCCCTGCTTTTAACCCAACTTCGCGGGTTTATTCGATCTACCACTCGCAGCGCTTTACCGTTTCACATGGCACAACCACGCATTGTCTTCAAGGCACATCGGAGACTCTCCAGTGCCTTGTTCTCACATCTCCAGGCAGCAAAAACCTGGAGTCTCGGTGAAACGACCTGCACATGCACCGACCTCGCCCAACGACACCCATCCCTCCCGAAGCATGACGGACACCTTCTTTTCTCCGGTGCAGACACCCATGAGCTGTTCGACTCCGACACTGCCCACATGCTATCCGGATCGATGCGCAACTCCTTCTTTCCTCCACGAGGGGTCTTGATGAGTCGCCTGACCCAGGCATTTCAACACTGGGCCAGGACCAACAACCTACCCGCGCTCGACCCATCAACCCTCACTACTATTGTCGAATTCCATTTCGACCTCCACCTTTCACACACATCACAGTACTTTCTTCACGCCCACGTCCAACGGGCTCTGCATACCCTGGAACCCCTTGTCCGCCATTGCGAAGACCATGCGGACTCCCGACTCATGATCTATTGTCCCGTTCTCTACGGCAAGATGTTGGAAGCCACTTTTGCGGACCCTGCCATCTTCGCCCCTCTGCCGGTCCCTGCCATTGAGATCCACCAACGACTACGAGAAACCATTGTCACCAGATTCCGCGGCCGCTATCCTTGGGCCGTGACCGGATTCGGAAGGCCAGCCAACGCCTACATCCTCCCGAAGAGGAAGAAGAACTGGACCACTGCCCGACCCATCATCAGTTTCATTGGCGCCTTCTTCCGACCCATGCTCGACGCTCTCGCCAAGCTCCTCCACAGCATGGTGGCCACGGCTTGCCCTGACGCGTTTTCAGGTGGCGACCTCTTTGAACTCATGCGGTCCTTGCACGAGTTTCTAAGCCTCGGCCACACCCATTTGGACTACCGAAACCAGGACCTTTCCGGTTTTTTCACCTCCATCGACAAAGACCGCTTCTTAGCAGCCTGGCGACTACTGCTAACCTGGTACCGACAACGACAACCACACTCCTCTACCACACACCTCACAGTGGACACACTTGACACCTCTGCCATCACCCGCGTCTACAACGGACGCCGTCGCCGACACAAACCCACACAACGCACCCTGTGGCTCGACGACATCCCCGAGATCATTCAGGCCACCCTTGACATGCAGATCTTCTCTGTCGGCCTTCGTTCATTCAGGCAAACACGTGGGGCACCGATGGGATCCCCCGCGTCCCCAGCTCTCTGTTTGATGGTGATCGCGGTCGCCGAACAATGTTGGACCAACACTCACACCACATCGGGACTTCGCTCCGTTGAAGATACTCTCCTGCTCCGCTACGTGGACAACAGACTCGTGATCGCAACCCCCAGGTGGCTCTCGACTCCGGCAGCCAACATACTGTGCGACGAACACTTCTATGGAGGAGACATCTTCCTGGAAACAGAAGCCGCCCTGGACTTCTTGGGGTTCCGACTGAACCTCACAAGCAGCACCATCTCCTTCATTCCCTCGCATGAGAAGCACAACATGCTCTCCGTCAAGTCAGCCGCACCAATGATACATAAGGAATCTGGATATTATTCCAGACGCACGCTGATCAGCCGAGTTTCCTTTCCTGAATTTCAGCGAGATCAGGATCTTGCAATGTTGAAGAGGTTGTACCTCCAACACGGTTTCACCTTACAAAGAGAAGAAAAACCGTCCTTTGCGAAACCACACTGGTTTTCTTCTCTGCCTTTGCATCCTGACAGATTTGACCTGATTTTCGTGCCGCAGCTGTTTGACTGTTTGACCAAAATCCGTTGCGAGCATGGATACCAACACAGCACGCCAGCTGCTCCAAGACTTCGAACTCATCCTTGGCATTGCCCAACAAGGCATCGCCACCATCCGCGAGTTCACTGAGAGTCCGACTGCCGAACCTGATTTGGCACCGGAGGCCACGCTCAACCCCGCCATTGAGGACCTGACCAACTCACCACCAACACCCCTCCTGGCCCCCCTCGAGGACCTCTTTGAGCCACCTCCTGATGCTCCAGATGAACACCTTCCCACTGATCATGACGAACAATTCCCTGATCATTGGGCTCCGCCCACCCCTCCTCCGTCTTCTCCCGGCGAAAAACGAGCTCGCCGCGCACGTGATTTGGCCTCCTCACGATCTACGGCATCCAAAACCTGCTCGTGGACCAAGCGAAGCTACCACATCGACCAGGACTGATGCCTCTACTGAGGCCGAACCTGAAGCCTCGCAGCCTTGGACTGAGGGAGAGATTGAACTCCTCCGTTCCCTTAAGACCAATTCCAAAGCCAAGTATGTGTGGTCAGTCATCGCCACAAGACTTTCTCGCACAATTGATGCTTGCAAGACTCAATGGGCCTCGCACAAGTGATGTCGCCCCAGTTGGGGCTCCGTGTGTGTGAAGCGTCCTGGAGCACGGACGGAAATTCCACATTGCAGGGGGACTGGAGCCGATTTGCCTATCCAGTCCAATGAAGCTACGGCATTTCGGTGGATACCGGATCTGATCAATCCGGCGTACCTGCCTATTTCCTGACCCTCTTTCCTGATTCCTTTTGCGGTTTCTGTTTGTCGCTGTTGCTTCCTGTTCGGTGTCGATGTTGTGACCTGTTGATTTGCGTTTGCATTCAAGCATTTTTACTGACTGCGTTTTTCATCTCGGCTAGTGAAGCCTCTCGAGATAAGTGTGTCTCGGAGTGTGTTTCGGTGTGTGCTGTGTTGCGTGCATCGAGTTCTAGTTCTGGGTCAGCTAAGGACTGGCTGTCGCAGTTGCCCTTGGTTCACAACTGTTTTTTTTTTGCCAGCGCACTCTTGCTGCTCGGGTTGGTTTCGTTTGCCTGTCGCGCGTTGTTGCCGCCGGGGCGGGGTGGCGTATTATATGGTCCGGTGTTCCGTGTTGCTACCCCCCCCCCCCCCCACCCACAGGACCCCCGCCCCCCCGGCCCGAGACCCCGAGCCCCCGGATCCTGGCACCTACAATCCCACCCCCACCCCGACCCCCTGAACTCGCACCCCGACACCCCGGCACCCCCACCCCAGGACAAGCTAAACTAACCCTAAACCAACCCTAAACACACCCTAAACAAAACCGTAAACCGTCGACCTCTAAACCTAAACCAACCCTAAATCAACATAAGCCAACCCTAAACTAACCCCAAATACACCCTAAACCAATCCCAAAAACAATAAACCCTAACCCTAAACCAACCCTAAACTAACCCTAAACCAACCCTAAATACACCCTAAACCAAACCCTAAACCCTAAACCAACCCTAAATCAACATAAACCAACCCTAAACCAACCCTTGTATGTATCATGTAATCCTAGATGCACTGCAGAATGTCCTGGATTCCTAAGCCTTTACGATTATAATTTTAAACTAGTGAATGAACTCATATAGTAAGACAACAAATTGGGAAGTCAGGCAGATGAAGCTTGAAATCTGAAGAAAGCTACTTTGCAGCTGCGGTTTTGTTATGTTTTGCTAGGTCAGACAAGAGGAAAACCGAAAAAGCCAAAAACAAAAAAAGGTTTAAAAAAAAACGGGACGAAGACATAAACCTGTACCTTTCCCTCACAGAGTATTGTTTTTTGTTTTTGTTCCTTTTTTTTCCGGCTTTTTTGGTGTCCAGTTACCTTTCCCTCAAAACATGTTTCTCACGGTTTGTGAGGGTTTGTCCAGAGCATGACACATCCAGAGAAATTGCCCTTGGAATTGACGTCTTTTTTAGACACCCCCCCCCCAAAGGCTAAATTCACTGAACATAACAGATGTCCGTCCTGTACCACCTCCAAAATCTGAGGTTAAAGAAGGATTAGAATAATATATGAAAGCACAAAACGAAAATATAACAAATACTGACTCTAGGATATACCACATCCGGAGATCCTTGAAACATAGGTACAAACTAATTTCGATATCCTCCAAACAAGCCAGGCAGTACTAAAAAGAATATCATAAGAAAACCAATGTAATGCTTATGTTATATAAGTTCTGATCTTCTGGAGAAATAATCCTATTTCCTGATGGCTACGACTCTATTCCTATAAAGACTGAGATAAACTCCAAACAACAAATAATAGATTCCTAAGCCTTTATGATTGCAATCTTAAACAAGTGAACAAATATCTTAAACAAATAGGAAGTAAGACAGATTGACTCAAGCTGAAACAGGCTACTTTGCAGATGTGGTTTTGCTAGATCAAACAAGCAGGAAAACTGAGGAGAACAAAGGGGGAAAGAGAAAAAACAAGCAAACTAAACAAACCACCACACTCCTGTGGGAGAATGTCTGCCAGCTACCTTTCCCGGTTTTCATTTTTTGTTGGAGGGTTTTCTCGTGTCCAGCTGCCTTCCTGAACGAGTCCGGTTTTCTGTGTTTTTGAGGGTTTTGTCCAGAGCATGAAACGTCCAAAGTCATTGCCCTTGGAAGTGCCCGGTTTCGATGTCTTTTTCAGACCCCCAACAATGGCTAAATTCACTGCAAGTACCAACCAGTTATGCAAACAGTTTTTCAAATGCCTTTTTTAGGGGGGTACCATCTATATATATAATATGTGAAACTTCTTGGAACATCTTGGATCACTGGCGCCGAATATTTTTCCGTGACGTCAGCTTGTTGGCCTCAGGGCACATGATCCACGAACTCTGACCAGATGCGAGGGCAGCAAGTTCACGGAATCCCGCACTTGGCACTTTACCAAAATCGAAACACTATCTTGTGTCTTGCTCCGTTTTGTAGTGTCTCACCGGTTTTCCAATCCTTCGCCTTGGAGCAACGTCCTGAATGCTAATTTGAACCTTCTTCGGCATGAGCGCCGCAAATACCATCCTGGGCGGAGAGCAAATGTCCCTTGACAAAAGTTAGCGCGGCTCATGGCACGCCAGTCGGCCATCAGGTCACACTTGACTCTGCCAGTCGCACGGACCGGACCAGGAACGATATGGTTGACAATCATGGCTACAATTTGTCCGCATTTCAAACGCGAGCGGTCTTCCGGCAAGCTTCTCATCCACCTCCAGGATAGCGGACAAAGCCACCGCGTTCAAGATGAGGTCCTTGCGCATGCCGCTTGTGGCCAGGGTGTCTAAACACATCTGCAGGGCAAATCTAAACTGTTGGGGGACCATACATTTTTCCAATAATGCAATCTACAACAGACCACCCTGGTCTCTATGACAGAAGGTTTTGAAGGACTTTGAAAGAACCTGATCATCTTGTGGACTTGCCTGTGGGGGGGCGGGAGTGTCTCCTACCGCAATCCAAACTCAAGTCTACAAGGCTCATGAAAACTGGGGTTGTGGAGTACCCCATAGTTTTGAGCCACATGACGCTCTTGGGGATGCCGGGTTCCCCCGAATTCTGCAAGGGAAGGCCCAAGGCGCTGTGATGGAGGTGGTGCCCGCCAGCCAAAGCACCCCAGCGTAAAGCAGAACCACCTCAGTGCACGCCCTCTGCCTTTGAAGCGCCATCGATCGCTTCCTGTGAGGCTCTCTAACGTGGGATCATTGCACAAACGCGGACAGAAAATGAAACAAGCTTTAATTAAGGCCACAAGACTGCTTTGCCAATGCAAAGCTTCACAACCTCTGGGTGTGGCTGAGTGATTTGTGTGAAGCGCTGTCTCTCTTCAGCTAGAAGTGCCATTAACATTCAGACAAATAGTCAAAAGTCACAGTTGGGCGATAGTGCTGAAATGGATACTGAGGGTCCCTTGGTACGTGACCACACTTGGATCTCCTACAAAGGATAACAATTTCTTGCCGGTCAATGGGAACATCAAATAAATTCCACAAGGGCACGCGGCAAAAACGCGATCTAGGTTCGGCAATGATTGTGACAAACAGTCTATAGTGTGGCTTTGTGCCACACAAACGAAGCCCAAGCAGGCGGTCCATTCGGGGTCTTTATGTCAAATGCGCCTTGGCCCACGAACTGCCGTCCCACATGGCGAGGCGCAGCAATACCCAGGCGAGCCAAGCGCATCAAGCAGTAGGCCATGTAGCGGACGTAGGACATTTGCAGGAAACCTTTCAGCTCAGGAGCGCGTCAGGCAAGTAACTATTAACAGCTACTTCCCTCCACCTGAAGCTGGTAGACGTTGGGGTTGGACTCGGAATAATGGGCTGTGGGGTTTGATTCTAATCTTTCTTCTGGATGATGCTGGGGATGTTCATGATGCTGGCGATGCTGGAGCAAACAGGACGCCCAGCATCACTCGCGTCACCAGCGACAGCTGAGTTGATGGGCTGCACGCAATGCGCTTTTGCGGCCTATCAATATTTGTTTCGGCGGTGATGCGTGTTTGGCGCTTTCATTGGCATCGATTCTAAGATGCCGAATACAGTTGAGATCGCCATCCGGCCCGCTCCCGCCCTCTCGTCGCCGCTGACAGTTGGCATATGGGACTACGTGAATGTTGCACATGAAGGTGATCCCGTGTCATGGTGTCGCGTGCCCTCCGAAGCTCAACGCGCTTTCCGTTGTTTCCGAGCTGGTTTGTCATGCTCTTGATGGAGGCAGACCAGTCTGACATGGATGTGAGAGCACGGTCCAGTTCCAGGTCAACACTCTTGCTCCCATGTGATCAAACAACGAGTCTCTAGCAGCCAGTGACGGGGACATTCTGCCAGGTGCTTGATTTACAAGACTGTTGCTCAAAAAAACAAATTAACATTGCTATGTGTTGAGCCTTGTGAGTAGCTGCTGATTGGCGAGCTCCAGTTTGCCCGGCCATTGGAATGCTTGACCCCACCCTGAATCTTTGAGAATGTCCAATCAAAACAGCCGGCCACCCGGAGCCCACTCTGGGAGCCGCCCAATACGAACCCTGGAATCCCATTATTCTGGGCTGCTCTTCCCCCCTGAGCCAAAGGTGAAAAAGCTGTTTGTTTCCAAAAGGTCTAAGGGGGCTAAGGTCACACCAAAAAGCAGACATGCATTGAGCTCAACAAGGTCGGAGAGAACGGGGCATCGGCCTTCTGAATCAGTTATGCCTGACCGCGGCACACGATCTCAACAGGCTAGTAAGCCTGCATCTGCCAACACACCCCGCCAAACAGCATGCTTCTGAAACTTGTACAACCACCACAAAGACTCTAAGGATCTCTCCTGCAGTTGTTCATCGAGTCGGGTTCCTGTTGTTTCACAGTTCGCAAGCTTGCACCGACAGAGTCTATGAGCCCAAGTTTGGGAATGAGGACATGTCAAGCCAATGCAGTGTGAGGCACCATAAGGAAGCACATCCTTGCTTGCGTTGATCAACACTCTAATCAAAACCAGCTGACGTCGTTGACCTCAACAACAATGGCATTTGCAGCCACTCGCCCGCTACTCTAACAACGATTGCGTCTTTCTGTCGGTCGTTGACCTAGGCAGGAGCTTGCAGCTCAACAGCTCGGCCCAGGTTGTCGCGCGATCAAAGTGCCAAGCAACGGCCACCATCCACGATGGTGCGCCTGCCGCGCGGCAGGTAGGACACGGCCTGTACAGGGTGAAGGCTCAGGATGAAGCAGATGCCACTCAAAAACTCATGAGGGTCCTTATGGATCAACGGCCCTGCAAGAAGGCTCGACATGCGCAAAGCAACAGTGTCAGTTGGGCAAGAAGAAATTGTTTTCTTGACTCCGATGTTCCCACCCATCCTGCAATTCATGCGTGCCAACAATTGGGCTGGTCATCATTGTCTAGTCGCTTGCCACATGTTTGGCCCAAAGGCAGCGCCATCCGAGGCAAACCGCGCCATACTCACTCGCCAACTGTTGCCAAGGTCATTGCATTGCTACATAACGCTGAAACAGCCCAGGCTGAAGAAGGGATCTCGACGTTTGCACCTTAGACCACGAAAGATGTAACATGGAGCAAGGCTCGCACGTAGGCTTGTCAAACCAGTGCCTCCAAGGAGAAGCACACAGCTCGAAGCTCGTTGCATAGATACAGTGCCCTGGGCATGTGATTTCTGTCTCCGCTTCTTTAAGACGAAACCAAAATAGAACCCTTCTGATGAGTCGCTTAGACCTTAGCTACTTTAGTGCCTAGGCGGGGTTCGCCACCCTTTTCAGCGTCCCACGGACGGTTGGGCTTTGGATGGTCCTTGCTGCGGCAAATAGCCAGGGTTTGCCTTCTGGTCGTGCAGCCGAGCAGTCTTTGGGACAACCCGCAGAATGGCATGTTTGGATTTTGGTTCTGGGTTCTGCTTTAACGTGTGTGTCAACTGATTTAGAGTTTGGATTTCTGCTTACTGTCACTTGGTTCAGGGTTGCTGTCATTGGGGTTTCGGCTTAGGGATGCTTAGGCTCAACCTTAGGTATATTCAGTGGCTGCAAGTCGTGAAGATGCTGCAAAGCAATTCGCTTGCTGCATAGTGTCAGACCATGCCAGGCCAAACTACACAAAGCGGAGCTCCCAGCAAAAAGAAAAGCGTTGGAATTCGGTTCACCTTCTGAGCTTCGCTTCGCAAAGGTCAGAGTCCGAGCGGCCAAAGAAGAATGCAAAGGATGCAGAGCAGAATCCCAGGTTGCAGCCAGGGCGGATCGAACTGTGATCTTCCCATCCCCAAGAAGGAATTGATCCTGAGTCAGGCGCGCCCTCTCCAATCACAGTCTAAGCAATCGCCAAAAACTCAACGGCTGTCCCACGAGAAATCAGTCAGCACACTAACTCTCAGGGATGCAACTGCAGAATTCTTATCGCGGGCCTGCTTCTGCACTGACGACTTCATTTACCAGCTGGACATATGGCGATCCACAGGCAAACAACCTGGATTTCCCATCGTTAAACTGTGCAAATGCTGGGTGCGAGGTGGTGCTGGGTGCCAGGCCTGGTGCGGAGTGGGTGTGCGAGGCTGGCTGGGGGGCTGTGTGGGCGCACGAGGGTGGGGGTGGGGGGGCTGGCCGTGTGGCGCGGATGAGGGTTTCCGTAAAACACTGAGAAAATAAAACGGCGATCCCTCCGCTTCCGCGCCGCTTCCGCGACGCAAAACGTACCTTCTACAACATCCATAACTACGAATGCTCTTCATCTGCTCTGGTCAGCTGTGAAATTGCGATTGGCTATTCAGCAGATCCAGACCAAGGCATCTCCTTAGAAGATCTCGAGAGCATTCCGGGACAGGCTCTTGGTTCCAGTTTGCGGGCTATGCCAGCGATATGGGCATCGTTTGGGCATCGTTCGGGGCATCGTTCAAACCAAACCGTTTTCTTGTCCAAGCATGGTCATTTTGATTTGTACAACAGCTAATGAGTTTGGTGTCGGTTTGGGTATCGGTTTGGGCCCTGCAAATGTCTGATTCCGCAATCTTGGTTTGCGACAACAGCTTGGTGTCTTGATGGCTTCTGGGGGTATTGTTCTTGTCCTCTGTTTACAATGGTTTGGGCCTGCAAAACAAGTTAAGGGACGTCCCCTTACATAACGAAGAGGCGCGGGTTTTTATTTCAGTACGCGTCGGGCACTTTCCAAATTTTAGTACAAATGTAGTACGCGAAGGCCACTTTCTCAGCTCCAGCTCGTTGATCTGGAACTTTTCATACACAGATGTAGTACGCGAGGCGCACTTTCCGAGATCCAGCTTCAGAATCGTAACTTTTCGGTGCAAGCGTGTAACATGCTTAAAGGCAAGCCAATAGTTTGAAAGAACGTAACAGGTCGCAGCTTCCGCGCCGCTTCCGCGGAGCTTCCGCGGCCTGCGTTTCACTTACTTACCAACATAGCCACCGCCACTAGCCACTCAAAAACGAATACAGCTATTTACGGAAAGCAGATGACGGCCGAGGCTGGCTGCGACCATCACTGTAGAGCACCTTTGTGCTAGGGGATCCAGAACCACTACCTCTCCGGCCACGGAACACCAAATTCCATCATTGTATTTTGAGCATTCAGCAGGAAGTTTAGAACCAATCGCTGCTGGTAAAAAGGCAGGGACTCTAGAACAACCAAATCCGCCTGCGCTGCACGACAGCCGTCCCCATGCCCAACCAGCCCGCCTAGCACAAGTCGCCAGCCCATTGCGCTGCACGCCTTTTCCCCAGTCGGCCTTGCACCCAGCCGCAGAGCACCCAGTCTGCGCTGCACGCTTCCCCCCAACCACACGCGGTCTACCACACGGCCGTCCCAGCCCAGCGCCGGACGTAGTTTGTTGAGGGAGGATGCGTTGGCTCTATTCGGCACGTAACGTGTATTTCTTCCGCACGCTTCGTGACTCTTTCAACATTTGGCAGCGCGTGCTCTGACAGCTGAGCTGGCGGCAGAAGTCGGGTTTGCACAAGACACCGGTTGCGCTTGCGCTGAGCAGAAGCATGCTAAGAAGCCTTTGCGCCGACACAAGACTTGTCTGGGATCTTGCGCCGCGCAGCAGATTAGTAGAGCCGGCAGCATGGCATATCGCATTGAAGAATTTACAGGCATCATGTCGATGCTTGTGGCACGTAGGGCGTGTTCGGACAAAAACACGAGCTGTGTGATTGCCTGCGCTTCCTTCCTCGCGTGCTTCAACGGCGCTCCTGGTGCATCTGCTTTGAAGCGACGCTATGGAGAAGAAGGCGATGCATCCAGCCCACGGCCACAAGAGCACATTCGACGGTGACAACAAGCGTTCCACGCACTTGCGCCTCAGGATTGGCTCACGCGTCTTTTGCCCGACGCTCCTGCCACTTTTGACCAACGCTCCTGCAATGCCAAGAGCTAAACGGCGAATGGCCAAGGCCCGGCTTGAGCAAGTTCGCAAGATCTATGCGGTCAAGAACCCTATCCTTCGTTGCTGGAGCTCTACAGCATGGCCAAGTCTGCAGATGACCGGGGCCAAGTTAGTGCTGCGGCGGAGGCTTTTTATGGGGCCCGGGCGGGTGACAATGTAATCTCTGGCGAGCTTAAGTCTCACAATATTGCATCCACAGCATGGTGGACGTATGCGTAACTTCCAGAAATCCACAGCGGTTGTGAAACGGCTTCGCAAGCTTATCACAAAGGAACGCAGTCACGAGCCTACGCCGCTGCAAAGGACGCGAGCAGAAGTCAGCTTGCGGGTGCCTACGTGATCGCCTGTTTCAGAAGATATTCAGTTCAAGTGTAGTACGCGAAGTGCACTTTCGCAGCTCCAGCTGGAAAATCGTAACTTTTACGTACAAGTTTAGTGGTGGCAGCTCTGGCTCTAAGATCACCTTTGCAGTACGAATGAGAGCCCCACATCTGTCCAAGGATCTGGCTGCCAGAAAAGGTCTACGTATTCAAAATGCCTTGCAAGCCAAAGCGAATGTGCGGGGCCTACACGAAGACTGAAGAACAACCAGAAGGAATGCAAAACAAATCCGTTCTGCTTGGCAAACAGCACTGATGTGGGCCACCAGGAATAACATGGCAACTTCATAGCCATTCAGCCGGAGATCTGGGACAAGAGCGCCGCCTGCACGTTGGACAGAATCAGCTTGCCGTCACCGTTGCAAACACCTCGACTGACACGACTGGACGATTGAAATTGAGGCCATTCATTGAACCTGGTAAGAATAAGATTGTATAAGCAGAATAGATGCCTGCTCACTTGTCCATCCTCCAGCTGTCAGTTGGCAATTCTTCAAGTGCACCATTTGGGATGCACAAGGCTCCGAATGTCTCAAACAGACCGAAGTTTCACTGCAAGCTCTCCTGGCATCTGTCAATGAACAGTTGCCCTGCATAGGTGCCGCATGTCATTGGCCAATCGCTCATGCGCATGCCTCAGGTCGCCACGGGAGGCCAAGCTAACATGGGCGAGGTCCATGTGCTTGTAGTCGTGGGCTACATTCCTCAGGGGCGGTGACTCCGACCGGGTAAGCTGTTTTGAATGAGAACGGATGCAGGCAAAGTCCAGTGCCAAGAGTTCCCAAGCCTTGCAAGGTCTTGTGCGATGTCTCTGTGTTGCACACCTTGCCTTCATGTCTCCTCCCTTGGCCTCATTGACTCATGCTGGCCCTGCGAGTGATGCTTGCTACTTGGCACTTGATGGCAAACTTCACTGGTCCTGCGCCAGCTGGTAGCGATATCAATCTGACTCGCGAAGGGCTCCCCCAAGAAGTCCTCCGCATCTGCAAAATGCATTGCTTCTCCCAGACCAGGCGCACCACCAAAGTGTGTGATGAGAGTTCCTAAGTCATGGCCTAGTGACTGTCAGGTACGGGGCATCCCTTTTACAAAAGCAAAGCTTCAATTCGAAAATTGTCACACAATCGCAAGCCCTTTGATAGACCCAATCCAAGCCATAGTTGGCCGGCGTGTCAAAGAGGCGGGACAGGGCTGCATTAGTAAAGCTTGGCAAACTTTTGCGCAGCCCCGACATTGCCTGGCTTCCCCCTGGTAAGCCTGCCTTGCCATAGCTAGCCCCGGCTAACTTGCCAAAGTACAATCAAATGTCGGCTTAAAAGGAGCAGGCGCGCGGTGGCAAAATACATGCTTGCCTTGTTCTTGCTAGACTTTGTGTTTCAACCTGTTTGCTCTAAGCTGTCTCCTGGGATTGACTCCGCCCTCAGCTAATCCCAAGCTGGCTGGCCAACCTGGCAGCTAACGTGATTAGCTGGTTTCTTGTGGCTTGAAGGGCTCAAGCTTGCTGGGTGAGCTATGGTTAGCCGGGTCCAGCCGGCTCAGCACAGCCACCCCCACCCCATCTGACCGCTAACCGCTAACCTCTTGGCTGACGACAGTAACCCCAGCTATTTCCAGCCAACCCCAGGCTACCCCGAGCTGCTGGTTTGAATGCTTGCCACAATCATGTTTTACATTGCATATGTGTATATATATATATATATTATGACGTAGTACCACAACAGAATATGTGCCTCCCTCCCTCGCTCCGTTGCCACTGGTCCTCCTGCAACAGGATAACCTAGGACGAGGGAACACACATGTGAAGCAAGCAATCCCCTGAAGTTTGAGCACCGCCGAGAAATTCAGAACCTACAAGCCATGATCAACATTTTGTGTTCCCCAAGAGAACACAAGAGAATCGGTTGCGCTCCCTTGGCGAAGTCGCGTGGGGCCAAGTATGGTCAGTCGTCGGAGCTCTGGCAAAAGACACGGATGCCCTGATGGACTGAATTTGGACTCATGACTCAGGACTCATGTCAGAACAAATGTCACTTCACCTCGCACATTAACCTCTGCTCAGCGAGCCAAACTGATTCAAACCGTATGGTGCTCACTTTTGCAAAACTTTTGCCTTCTGAGCCATTTCATAAAATAATTACGATTAGCCCATGCTGAGTCCGGCTTGAGAATCATGCTCCAACAACCTGACCTCAGCTTGCTCCAAGCTGCGCTGAAGACGACTTGCATCGCGGCACTGGCTACTAGCAAAATGCAGGAGACCAGAATGTCGCTCCAGCTAGCGGACGTGCGACCTTATGCATGGCAAATGGAGTTCAAAGTCTTTGGTCTCCCTTGCCAAGACATTTTAACCAACGACTACTCGGCCCCAGAGTTCAAGATGCATAGTGGTTGTTACAAGAGACTGGTACACACAAAGGAAGCTGAACGACAATATCGTGCAATGACAGTCACCAATTGCGCATGCCTTGCTTGGGCTCCAAAGCGCATTGCAAAGTCCACTTCTGCTTGTTGCGCTGCTTGATAGGAGACCAACATTCAGGCAACTGCACGGACTCATTCGACTCGCAAATCTAGCTGTCGCGTCTGGCGCCGCTGCTGCTGCATTTGCTACCCTCGTTTTTCTTTCAACTGTCTTTTTGAAGTGGCCACAACAACGCACTGTGGCTGTAGGTTCAACAAACATCAGCTCACACAAACACATATAATGTATGTGTCACCAATTGCATCATCCAAGGTACCCAACACCAGGACAAGGTTCCACCTCGGCTCTAATGAAGGGTAAGGCTTGAGTGCGCGCTCCCCGGAATGCCCAAACCAAGCCAGCCCTGACACAACAAGCAATTCTTTGCCGACGGCATCTGGATCGCGGCAGGCGCAAATTATCACTACTGTAATCTATGTTGATAGAATCGCATGCCTGTAGCTGCCTTGTCACAGACTTCAAAGCGACCCGAACAGCCAAAGCAAGCGAGCATGCAGCAAACAAGCCCGGGCACAACAAGACCGCAGCACAGTCAAACATTCCAACATGATTTGAAGCAAGCATCGCCGTCTCCAAGAAGGCAACTGGCTCGTCCACATTGTCCGATTCAGACTGGCCCTCCGAAACCTCGTCTTCCCAGGCCTGCGCTGAAGTTGAACGGCAAGAAACTCCTTGTGGACGCAATCCGGCCATTGAGTCTCTTGGTCTTTCAAGTCAAAAGCGTTGAAGGAGGGCCAAATGAAGTTGCAGGTCAGAAATGCAAGCCCCTAACGCCCACCCAACTTGTCTGCTAAGCATATCGGCTTATTCTTGGGTGTGGCCTGGAGATAGTCTGCGCTTTGCACGTTTACCTTGTGCTAGCTTGCGACCAGTGCTGGCGCTTCGAGCATGCGGAAGCTCAGGAGGGGTTCGATTTCTCAAAGTGAAAGTGGTTCATTCTCAAATCTCAGCCCCTCGCTTGAGCCTCTGTTCATTCATTTCCATATTTCTCGACCAATTCATCAGCTCCCAGCCACCTCGCCCTTGGCCGGGGCGGGTAGAACAGGAACGTGCTTTGCAGCGTTGATGTCTTGACAGACCTGGGCATCGCGTTATCAAAGCTTCAAGGGCCTAAAACCCCAATCTTGGCACCTGTGGTCACTTTCGCAACGACCCACCCAAAAGATCATCCCACCTGATGCAATTCAACGCGAACCAACTGGGCAAGTAATATTTGTTGGCAGCCACGCAGGCTAACAAGTAAGCAGGCGAACGAGCAAACTAAGCAGACAAGCAAAAGAAGTAAACAATCAAGCACAAACAAGCTAACGGGACAAACCGAGAGTCATGCAAACGTTGTCCCCGTGCGGCTCAAGCTGCGACAAGCCGGTTCACGGACACAGTTGCCTGACGGGCTATACAGCAACTGTCAGCTTTCTGTAAAAGGCATGTGCTGCCAGCAATGAGGGACTGCCGAGTCAAGCCTTCAATCCAAAACAGAGTATGTGTGATACCTTACATGTTTCACTCGCGAGGACACCAAACATGCCACATGTTTGCATCGGAGGAGGCAGCTAAGCTGATGCCAAAGTCGACGGCAGCTCCGCATGAGTTCTAGAAATGGTTTCCAGTGTGCACCTCGAATCCTCATGTCTCGTTCGTACTGCGTGATGCGCCGTGCTGCTGCATCATAATGCATCTGATGCGCATTGCATACGGCATGATGTGTTTTGATGCGTTACAATACGTCCTGATGTATCACGAGTCGTGGTGCCAAGTGTTGATTTTGGATGCCTGCTGGGACTCATCCTTTTGAACCTGCATCCCTTTGAGGATCTTGGCTTGGTCACTCAATCAGGGTAGCAGAAAGTTGATGTCCACTACCTGAGTACGCCTACACATGTACTACATATATAAACAAATAAATAAATAAATAACATAAACAAATATATATATATATACACATATCTATATATATTCTGCATGTGTATACATATATATATATATATGTACATAGATACAAGTGGTCCAAAAATTCGGGTCCATTTGTTTGGCGACAAAATAGGCAGGACAAGTTGCCAAACTGTTGGTAAAACCCAGCCTGGCCTCGTCCCTCTCCCAATCGTCCTCCGTGATCTCCACCTGCAGTGCTCAGTTTCACCAGTTGGTTCAGGTCCTGTGGTCCGCAAAGAGGTCAAACTCGGCTGAAAACTGCCAGAAATGTTTTGTAGAAGCGTTTCGCTGTGGCGAAAAATCAGATGTTGCACATTTGCAGGATAGCACTATCCGGTAAAGAACTTAACAGTTTCGCAACGCGCGCCGGCAGATCTGTCAAGGGATCTTCATGAATCTTGTGCAAAACCTGCCAGGCCTGGTTCAAATTCAGTCTCCGCTCCAGCAGCGTCAAGCGCGCCGACATCCTCAGTTCCACATCAAATCTCCTGTTGGTGGGTCTAAGCGATTGACATGACTTAGGCATAGCCCGCCCCGCCCATTAAATAGGACTCAATAGGGTGAGATCTCCTGATTGTGGCCCACATATGAACCTGAATGAAACATACCTGGTTAGACTGCAAGTGTTCTTTCAACACGAACTTGCCACGTATATGTAAATATATTGCATATATATATATATATGCAACTGATGTATTTCAATAATACCTGCGAAGACCCCAAACCACTGGCTGCTTGGCCGCATCATAATCATGCAGGCCGCATCGTAATGATGCAGGCCGCATCATGATGGTGCACGCACCCGGAGAGGCGTGCAGAGCATCTGCCAAAGCCAACCAAGCTGGAAGACAAATTCGTTTACTAAGCGGCCGCCCAAAGAGGCACGCGGAGCACCTGGCAGCTCCTAATCGAAAACAGGCGCACGTTCCTTAAATCTCTACAGCGAAACAGTTTGGGGTAAAATTCGGGATATCTTGATTGACAAGCGTGCTTAACAATAAACGCAATAACCACATAGTAGTACCAACATTCATATGACAAACGACAAACTTTCGCCTCAGCCCCCTTGGCAGGGAAGCGGTCAGACCCCTTCAGAACCAGAAACAAATTCAACCCCCTTTAAGCCAGAGCAACTCCACAAAGCCCCTTTTAAAAATCGAGCAAATCCCAAGCCAAATTCCTCCCTGTCAAATCCCCTCTAAAAACCGGCTCTCGTTGAATCCCTTGAAGCCATGTGGAGAAAACTCGCGAACATGCACCCACCCTCTATCCCGCATGTCAGTGTCGACTCACTCACTTACACAAACACCACACCTCAAGGCAAACAAAACACAGCACCTCAAAGCCAGCCAAAGCCAGACGGCCAAGGCGGGCAACGCGAAGCGTTTACAATGAAATAATGTTGATATGCTAAATCAATATGTTTATTGTTCATACATACATACATACATTTACATAACATAACATAACATAACATAACATTACATACATTACATTACATTACATACATTACATACATACATTACATACATTACATACATTACATACATTACATACATACAATACCATACCATACCATACCATACCATGCCATGCCATACCATACCATACCATACTATACCATACCATACCAACATACATACATACATACATTACATTACATTACATTACATTACATTACATTACATTATAGTGCATTGCATTGCATTGCATTACATTACATTTACATTACATTACATACATACATACATAGGTATGGCCCGTCAATGATTCAGAATTGCCTGTTGATACAATCAAATCAAGTATCCATTCAATCAATTCGCTTCCATGTGAGAGCGCTTACTTAGCCAGAATATGTGCTTTCTTCATTGAATATTTTTTGATTGATATTCCCATGGTGGAGCCAACGAGGGTTTCCAGAGGCGCTCAACACAGGATCAGCGCCTGCATAAAGCTTTGCGAGGGCATGGTCAAACGGGCCCTTCTTTAGAATGACACAAGGACAAGCTACATGTGATGCGTCACTGGTAAGTATGCGTGGTTGCTTGACCTTCAAACGCACTTTCGGCAGCAAGGTTGACACAAGCAAGCTCTTGAAAAAACAAACACATTCTTGGCTGAGGGGCATGTGTTTGCAGTGGAATTCACACAAATCCACAAGATTCGTTTGGCTGGAAGCAATCAACATATGAACACATAGCCGCCTTTAGCATTCAGAGAAGCTCCACGTTGCCACGGCGAGGGAACTGCGAAACTCCGATTCTATTTAGCCCGTGAGGTACATGAGACACCCGACAAAGCTCCCTAAGTGTCTCTCGAAAAATCGAGAAGACCTGGCTCTTTGCCGAAACTTTCCTGAAAGGAAGAGTGCCCCCTGGGTTCACAGGGCGATGTTTGATCGCCCTTTTCCCGCCCACTTCAAGTGCCGCATGAAAAACAACAACCCAATGGAGTTGGGCTGAAGCCGTGAGGCTGTGCCGTGCTTTTGGTGATCTCCCGCTTCAATTCCTGGTGGAACTCCTGGCAGCCAATCATTGCCACATGACGATACTGGCATTGCTGGGGGCAAGCAACAACAAGGCGGGGTATCTGCAATGGTCAGAATTTCTTAAAAGTCGCCTTCCATCAAAGTCTTGGAGCTAGGGGATATTTCGTGCATGTATTCAAGAGCGCATGTCCCTACTCTGAGCAAATAGCTTGGCACTTCAACAAAAAACACCGGCAAAAGCTGGCTAGGCTCTCTTTGGCAAAGATAGCTCCACAAGCAGATAATGACTTTTGTGCGCTTGCATAGCGTCGGAAGACACCATCCAGATGATGACGTGTTGTGGTTTGCGCCCAACGAATCTCGCAAGCAGCGCAAATGTATTGGCACGAATGAAAGCAACCTCCGCATCACAGTGAAACTAAATGGAAGGTGTACCACGCACTTGCTGTCAAGATTGCTGCGCTATCAGAGCTGACGTGAGCCTGATCGTATTTACCGGTGAGTAGCACGCACCTTCACGCAAAAAAAAACACACACACACACACACAAATTCGATCACTCAAGCACACACGCCACAAGAATACTGTAAGTTTGTCAGTATGTACAGGCGAAGCGTACCGAATGAGAGGTGCTGAGCCGGCAGTTGTATGAGTCAAAAACGAAAACCTGCGCTGGCAAACAGCTTCTGGAAAGGCAACACAGTCAACTTACCAGGATTAGCGTCTTTTTGAAGGCTCTTGGGATAAACCTGCGCCGCCTTCACGAAGCAAGGGGCAACGAGTTGTGGCGTTCACTTTGTGCAACACAAATAATCTCCATGCTTCACCTTCTCTGCGTGACCTGTGATAGCTGCGCCCACATGCACATTTCCAAAGCAACATTGCAGGGTGCAGTGTCACAAATGACGCGGACAGAATCCACATGGTCAAAGCAGGCCATTCGCACAGTGGCAAAGCTTGCGGAATATGGGGCTCATAGTTTGCTTCACCCCAAGATTGCCAGATCCACCATCGAGATCCACCAGCTTGCCATTGAATAATTGGCAGCTAGCCTGGTAAACCCATGTTGCCCCTCCTCTTTCAGCCGCTTCTCAAGGTTGTTGATTGACTTCTCCAACTTTGAGGCCGACATGGCGAAGCCCGCGAGTGACTAGTGCTATTGGAAGCCTGAGTATTTTTCTGGAAGTTGTAGTCACAGAAGCTTCGCCACGTACCTTCCAGCTTGGTGCTGCAGCTTGGGTCCCGGGTTTAGCCTGCTCGCAAATGGTTTACCCTGGGCCCTGGAAGCGGCGGAGCTCAAACTGCTTGCCTGGAGCTTGTGTCTGGAGCTAGGGCTTGGGAATGTGTTGCCGACCAACATCCACTTGTGGCATCTTCAAGCAATAGCTTATCAGCCGTCAGCTGTCTATATTTTGTATACTTTATATATAATACATATCTTGCCTTGCAGGGGCGGCCTGGACCCTTTTTGTCTTCCTGCAAGCCCACCTTCAAGCCGCCAGAAGCTTACAGGCTGCTGACCTTCCCTCGTCCAATCATTAGAGCCACTTTGGCCCATGCATGCTGACCATTTCCTGCGAAGCCGTGTGTTCAAGCTGAATCTCCCGATTCATGGCGCGGAATGACGGGAAGGTCTGAGCTGGGATGCTTACAGCTCCTGACGGCTAAGCAAGGCTGCTCTTTTCAGCGACTCTTCGCCGTAAGTGGTATCCTCGCGGCCGTGCAGGGCAAGATATGTGGTATGGCGCGTTTCAGATCAATGGAAACCGGCAAACCCTCGGCAGCAAATGCCCAATTCTGTTTGATAGATACCTTCGTTGAATGTTCACGATCCTTAACTCAGCTGGCAGCAACAACTGATTGACTTCTTGCTACACTCAAGCCGATCAGAGCGGTGTCGTCAAGGTCTGTCTTCATGTCGATATATAGTTAAGCATGGTAGGCGCCAACCAGTCAATTGGACGAGGCGCTTGCCTCCATGGAAGCTACAGAGCCAAATAGAAGCATTCCCCAAGCCAGCGCCGCGTCCTTTGAGTGTGCCATAAACATGCCTCGGTTGCAGTGCAGCTGACGCACATGAAAGAACGGAATATCAATGCCAATCAGTCGCTCGTTTGGGTTTTTGCATGCCTTCTTGGAATCAAACAAATCGACCAGGCTGATGATTTATAATAGAAATGCTTCAAGAATGCTCCTTCTAAGTCCTTCTGCTTGGGTGTGAGTGGCAAACTCCGCTTGCAGGCATTGCGACTCGCGCTCGGAGCCCTGCCTTCTTTGAAGCAGTGGGCGCGAATGAGCTCGCGGTCGAACTCCTGGGGTCACCCACCCGCTTCTTGTGTTACACTCGTGTGGCTCTTGGGAGGCATGCTGGAAAAGAAGCTTTCACAAAGGACGGGTGCCTTGCATTGCCCTCATCTATGGAGTTCGCATAGATTCTCTTCTTTCCGCGCTTGTCAAGCCTGTTTTCGGGAGAACGCAACACATGTCCAATCACCATCTGGTCATTCGGGCCATGGCCGGGTTGATCCGGGTTGAGCATATGGTCAAACACCATGGTGTTCATAGCCTATGCACAGCTATCCCTGCCTTTCGGAAAGGCGAATCCCACACCTTTCGGTCAGCTTTCATCTTGGAGGGAGACATTGCACGAGTTGTTTTCTTCACTGAGGTCACATGTTCATTGGCTGCATGGCTCCTGCAGCTCCTTCCTCCGCTCCAGCTCTTGGCAAGGATGGTGATTGAATGCATCCTGACGTCAGCCAACTACGGAGTCTTTGACCCTGAACAGCCCAGCGCTTCCAACTCAATCTGCTGGATTTAGGCTAGATTTCAACAAAAGACTTTCTCTGCGACGTGCGTGATACCTTTTGCTGCACACACCAAGTGGGGTGAAGCATGTGTCCGGGATGGTTTGAACAAAAGGGGGCCACCAAAGGGATGGAAACAAACCACGTTCTCCTTTCTTGGGGGCTCTTTTTATCGAGATGGTGCCAAATGGGTATGGGTCAAAATTAAACCACCAGGGGACCGCGGGTTTTAGTCTTCTTCCACTTACCAGGGTTCCATTTAGGGTACCTATTTCTGATCCACAGCCAAATCTCTGCCTCCGTCCCGGTGAGGAAGGCAAAACCTTCCACCTGGCGATCACAGCAGCCCATGCCTCAAATCGGGGCCACGGCTTGGAGAAAACCGTTTTTTTTTGTTGGAAACATATGGCCATGGGTCAAAATCCCGTACCCCCAGTGAACATCCCAATCCCCACTAAAATAGACCCTAAAATGGTACTATTGGTTTCGACCCACAGCCATATCCTTTGTGGTTCCACCTGCGAGCTTCAACAGCTTTACCTTGAGTCCTCAGGCCCTTACAACCATGAAACCAGTGCCGCCACTGCATCTGAACGCCAGGCTTATGCAGCACTCCAGGCGCCACCTCGGGCCGTTGCCCATGGCATCCATCTGGGAGTTGAAGCAACTCATCAGCTGCTCCTAAGTGCCGGCTGGTTGGGCTCTACTGGCAAGATCTCACAAGGTGCCTTCAGAAACTTCGGATGCAGCCAAAGCCCTCCCCTTCGAGTCAGAATGGGAAACATTGGATTTTGTTTTAACAGTAACATATGAAGGTCATGCATCGCAGCTTGCTTTCTTTATGGACCAATGCGGTGCAATCGAAGCCTGGACCGCCAATGGGCGGATTGACGTCAGCCAAGCCGATGGAGCCCTGGAGGCTCCCGGCACCAGTAGGCGGCTCCGGCCGAGTCTAGGCGCAAAAAACCGCGCAAAAATCAAAAACCGCCCGTCTCTGGAGGAGCCTTGCGGGTAAGAACCTCAAGAGGCACTATGTTTCCTTTGTTTGTCTAAGGTAGCTGTCCGCGGTGCCCTACTTAGAAGTAGGCCTGTTTGCAATGCGCTGGATCCATACTTCCTCAAGCAAACACAAATACACGGGATGGCCCAGCTGGGTAGATCAGGCTGTATCCTTGCAAAACAAACTGTTTGAGCTTCAAACGAGATTCACCATCCGCCCAGGGATCGATCACCCAAAACATTGTTCGGAAGAAATGGGCCTTGACCTCACAACCGTCCGCACCTACAAATGCACAGCCGTGGGTGGCTCGAGAGCGGGTTGGCTGGATTTGGGTGAGATTCGTTTTGGGTGAGTTTAAGGTGGGTGCAAGCTGTTGTTTGTGCTTGGTGAGTGTTGATTTAGGATAGGTTTTGGGGTTGAGATGCGACTGCTCTTCAGGCGGACGGTGGCTGCTCGTTCCAAAAATAAGGCTGTCTAAACTCCTTGTATCCCGCAGTGGACACCGTCAATTTGGGACACCCTCATCGCTTCCCGCATGTGTTTATGTTTTATTTTTCCGGGCACCGTTCTTACAGTCTTTCATATTGTATGTTTAATCACGGGTGTGTCTAATTGCAATGGGCCAAGGCTTCCAAACATAACAACATGTTGTTTTGAATGCCAAGCCAACCCTCGCTACTAAATTTAATTGCTTTTGTGGGGGGCTCTTCCAATTGCACGACCAGCTTGCGCATCAATGCTGCCGGGCGCTGCTGCAATGTGCTGTTGCAGCGTGCTGCCGCAGGCCGAGACTTAGGTGCTTCTGCAATGCTGTGGCATGGTGCTGTTGCAGGCCGAGACTCACAGTTGCGCAGGGTGCTGTTGCAGGGTGCTGTTGCAGTCCAAGACTCAGAGTTGTGCAGGGGGGGCTGTTGCAAAGCGCTGTTGCAGGGTTCTGCTGCAGGGTGCTAAACCAAAACCAAGGGCATTCTAACAAAGGCGAGTATTGTTCAGGATCCAAATCGGCAACTGGGCAACTTAAAGACCTTTAGGCATCGCTTCGGGCATCGTTTGGGCATCGCTCTGGGCATCGCTTCGGCGCATCTTCTTTTATGATGGTGGTCTAGCTTCAAGCACAGCCACACGCTACCTGGCACATCTAACATCTGTGGTTGTTGATGCATGCAAGCGCAGGGCATCGCTTTTGGGACGATCCCATCGCTTGCCCCAGCTTTCTTCACTTTTAGAAAATCGATGTCCGCCGATTGCATATTCTAGATAACACGAGTCTTGACGATTCCTCATAATGTCAAAATGGTAGCTGTCTATTTGGGTTCCTTCAAGGCTCTGTATTCTCAGATGGTTTCTATTCGTGTTTATGCTTTCCTTTTTTGTTTCCATTTCCCGTGCCTTTGCTTTTCCTTTCCATTCATTTTCGTTTGTTTGTTTCCTTTCACTTTCCTTTGTCCATTCATTGTCCTGCCCTTTGTCTTTCCCTTGTTGTTCCCGTTTCCTTTCTTTGTTCTTTCTCCTATTCCTCAAACTAGCTTGTTGCACGCAGGAAGATGGGTGGTCAGCACTAATCATCGGGGCCACTGCAAGCTGCTTGCTCGAGTTCATTCGTGCACTGGACCAATGATTCTGCTCAAACTGCCAGGTTTTACATCTTCAGTTCGGCCGACCCCGACAGCCCAACGAGTGACTACTACGGGGGTTCCGCATGCTTCAGCTTCCGTGCCTCATCGAACTCTTGCCGAAACCTGAGCCGAATGGGTTAAAAAAGCGGTGCGAGGTGTATCGCAAGACTTGCTGGTGCGATAAGTAGGGAATGTGAGAATGAACCCAGGGGTCCACTTAAAGCAAACCTCCAGTTGGATGGTTCATAAAGGTCATTCCCTCATTCCCTGCTGAGCAGCAAGAAAATTAGGGACCTCCTTTTAGCAATGGCTAGGGAAACCAAAAGGAGCCCCGACGCCTGAAGGGTTCCCTTCTCGTGAAGCAAACTTGGAAAATCATCATGGGTCTAGTTCCGACAGAGAAAGAAAGAAAGAAAGAAAGAAAGAAAAAAAAAGAAAGAAAGAAAAAAAGAAGACCGAAATAAAGAAATCAAGAAGGAAAGAAAGAAATAAGAGAGAGAAAGAAGGAGCGAGAAAGAACAGACACAAAAAGACAGCACGAACAACATAAATGAAGGAATGAACGCGGGAAGGAGGGAGGGAGGGAGGGAGGGAGGGAGGGAGGGAGGGGAAGGAAGGAAGGAAGGAAGGAAGGAAGGGGGAGGGAGGGAGGGAGGGAGGGAGGGAGGGAGGGAGGGAAGGAAGGAAGGAAGGAAGGAAGGAAGGAAGGAAGCAAGCAAGCAAGCAAGGAAGGAAGGAAGGAAGGAAACGAACAAACAAACGAACGAACGAAACAAACAAACAAACAAACAAACAAACAAACAAACAAACAAAGAAACAAACAAACAAACAAAACAAACACACAAACACACCAACAAACAACCATTCTTTGTTTGTTGGTTCAACCAACCAACTAACTAACCAACCAACCAACCAACCAACCAACCAACCAACCAACCAACCAACCAACCAGCCAACCAACAAACAAACCCGTACAAACAAACCCGTACAAACAAACACGTACAAACACAAACAAACAAACAAACAAACAAACAAGCAAGCAAGGAAGCAAGCAAGCAAGCAAGCAAGCAAGCAAGCAAGCAAGCAAGCAAGCAGATGACCACGAAAACATTCATACATGCACACACACAAAACAACGCGTACACACAAAAGCAAACACAACATACACACACACACAACCACACAAACACACAACACACAAACATGCAACACACACACAAACAGGCACACGCAAATTCATCTAAGCCTGGCACCTACTGCAAGCCCCCTGGTAGCGGTCTTTGCCCAGGTGTTGCAGCAAGACCTCAGAATTTGACAAAATAAATATAGAAAGTCATGTGGGCCTTGGACATGCAACAAGGTGCTCCCTCAAAGGATGTGGACCCCCCCATACAATAACCAGCAGATGGAACACCACCCCCTACCCCAGCAAAGAAGAAACACTTTTGATGGATTCGGTAGCGTGATGTGTAGATGTTTGCTCGAAGAATTGTGCAAAAGATCAGTGTCAAACCGCCTTTCAATGCTAGATCCAACTATCAAATGTTGGAACGGTGTGCTCCTGCAACCGACAGTTTCCATACGGGATTCGGCTTTTCAGGCTGCTGGCCTGTAACTCTGCCAAGCCGTTGAAAACGCATGGCAGTTGGTCTGGGAGTTGCACTTCGTACATGCAGCCGTTGTCGGCCCAGGGCCACTCGCCCGTACCTCGGGGGGGGGGGGGGGACCATCCATGGCGCTTGCCATTGTGTGCCACAAGGAATGACGACTTCGACGAAGCCTGCACCAACCTATCGTCTTCTGGAAAACTGAAACACTTTGAGTCACACAGGATCAAACACACGATCTCTGCACATAGATCCTCAACCATATGCCAGAAACCAAAATGTCAAGCAAGGATCATCGAGACCCAACACATCTTCAACCATTGCTACTCACATCCCTTTCTGTCCCCCCTGGCAGCGCTCAAGTGACGGCATCATCTGTCTCAGCCCTGCGCGACAACCCTTGCGCCAGGCGCTGTAGAAAGCTTTGCCGATGCCCTCGTCAACCTGTTCAAACAAGCAAGGCATGCCAATATGGTGTCTGCTATGATCCTGCATAAAACAAGTCCGCTTACCAGCGGTTTGGGCAAATTTGGGATCAGACAGGGGAATATGATGCGATGTGACACTCCCGGTCTATGACAGCCAGCAACATATTAATCATTGCAAGAATGGGATTGCTGGCAATGGCTGCAGACATCTTGCTGACACACCGAGGCTTTGACTCAAATGGAGCACAAACCGCTGCATATCAAACCAGTCAAACTCATGTTGCACGACATGTCAACATATGTCAAAGCGGAATGAAATCAAAATACACGCTGTGTGATAACAGCACTTCCTTCGGATCTGTTAAAGTCTCAAATACAGCTACAACATCATAGCGTTCAGCTCAGGGCAATGCTAGTGCTTGTCAAATTAGACAAAGCACGCCGTGATCAAAGTAGCACAACATCCGCTTTGAAAGCCTGGCAAGCTTCTTTAAGGATTGTCGGGCCGATTGCATCCGCATAAAGACTCTATTGCGAGATTCTTTTGTCCAAGGGTTGCAATCAGTACAATTCTACAACCATGTGCCTATTTTTAACATGCAGAATCATGAACGTGTATGTACAAAACCCCTGACCACATTCTGGCCACTGGGGGCATTCCTCACTGGGGGCATTCCACATTTATATAATGTGTATATATATATATATAGGCATGCATGTTTACAGCGTGTTCTTGTGTTCTACTCTTACGAAGTACAGAAAACCTTTAAAACAAGTGTGTGTGTGTGTGTAGCCCTTTCTTTTAAATACATGCAAGCATTAAGCCACATATATATATATATAAAGCAAACAATGACCACAACGAGCTTGTTGTTTTTGTGTGTCGAAAAACCCAAGAGACTCATAAAACCAAACAAACACCAAAACCTTGAGAAAATCAACAAAAACAATCTCTTGGGAGAATCTTTGGTCCCAGCTCCAAACCGGTTCTTTCTTGTCTTCTCGAGTTTATGGTTGTGTTTGTTTTCCCTCACTTTTTGTTTCTTGACATTATCCCTCACACAAAAAATACAAAGCAACTCAAGTCTTGTGTTTTTAGAAGAGCAAATGTTCACAAACCAACAAAAACTCGATGTTTGGTTTTGTTTGTTTGTTTTATGAATCATCCCTCTCAAAAACTGCTCCTTCTGAAACTTTCGAAAAACCAACAAAATACTGAGTTTGTTGGTTTGTAAGCATTGCTCATCAAGTGTTGCTGCTTTTGTTTAGACTTGCTGCCTTATGTTCTTGTCGAAGCTGTGACCATGTATGCAACCGCCTTGTTTCGATATGCATAGACGTCTTTGCTGAACACTTTCATCAGCGCAGTCAGCGGCCTCAGTCTATGTTAGACTGAAAAGAGGAATATCTTACCAAACAGGACTTTAACTATACAGATCTTAGAATAGAATCTAAATGGAATTCAGCACGGACAGAGTTGAATTGGAGTTTCGACTTAAAGCAGAGTTCAACAGACTGCTTTAAACTCCTCATAAGGCTCCTTATAAGGCTCCTTGCAAAAGTTCCGTATACAGCTCCCTATAAGGCTTCTTACAAGGCTCGTTGTAAAGCTCCTTGTTAGGCTCAGCTCCCCGTAAAGCTCCGTACAAAGCTTATTGTAGGGCTAGTTATGCACCTGAGGTAGAAATCCTTGTGAAGCTCCTTTGGAAGGCCCATTGTTCTTGCGCCAATCCTTTTTAAGTTGCTTCTAGAGTTCCTTATGAGGCCTCTTACGAAATCCTTGATAAAGCTCCTTAAATGCTCCTCCCAAGGCTCCTTTACCAAACAGGATGCTGATTACACATGTTGAACATGCTTTCCAAACATGATTTCCACGGTAATGCTTTGATTTAGTAGAATTTGATACGGAACAACTAGATCAGAATCCTTGTTCAAGAGAGTTGGAACTGAGTAGAATTGAATACCGATGAAATAGAATTATAAGTTCTGTCTTGAATTAGAATGAATTTGGCTTAAGTTTGCAGATGGAACAAACAGGAATTATACGCAATGACCCGCAGGTGAGTGAAGCTCCTAATAAAGCCTTTTGAGGCTCCTTATGCCAAATAGGACTTTATGAGTATGATTGAATTAGAATTTGAGCAGAACACAAAGAATTCATGAGGTAGCTCGTCTGTTTTGAATGAGGGGTCAAAAAGGTATCTTAGTTTAAGTACGAACTCCTTTCCAAATTGGTGCTCAATAAATTCGAATTGGAAGTTGAGTAGAACTCAATCAGCCGAAAAACAAAAAAGCATTTATTCTGGACCTGTAGATGTGACACAGCACGGACAGAACCAGAAAGTCCCATCTTTTCAGTACAAAGCCAGTATGCAACATGCGCTTCCGCAGCTCCGACTGGAAGGTCGCAACTTCTCAGCACAAAAGTAGTACGGGAAGTGCACTTTGGAAGCTCCGGGTGAAAAGGCGCAGTTGTTCAGCACAAAGGTAGTGCGCAAAAATGAAATTCTGCAGCTTCGGCTGGCGAGTCGCAGCTTCACGGTACAAAGGAATGATTTAGGTGGGGGCACCCCTCATCTAGAAAGGAAAACACAAGACGCAACACAATTTACGAACGTTAGCTCCTGAACCGACCCTCAGACAGGACCTTGGGCCGACTTGCTGACCAAGAGCACACTTGGAGCACTAACCCGCAAGAAGGGGAAAATCAAAGAAACCAAAAGCAACAAGGGGTTTCGTTCGCATGCACCGCGGTGTCGCATTCCAACCCAGAAACTGAGGGCCAACATCGCGCAAACGGAGGTGAAAGCAAACTGTTTTCATGTCTCACAGATTTCCACGATACAGTTGCGCAACACTTTCGCAAACAAACACAAGTTACTTTCGCAACTCCATCGCGAATCTTTCACGGAGGTATCTCAACCAACACCGATGGTCGCCGAATGCTAAACATATTACAAATACCTTTAGAATATGTATTTGCGTACATTGCGCTCAGGAGTAATTCACCGGCGAGCAAACAGAACAGCCAGGACTGGCCTGCAGGAAAAAGACACCATTGTTCAAGGACAGCGCGTTGTCTGTGAAGACAACGGGCCTGGAGAGAGTCCCCAAGCCAGGTGATAGTAAATGGTGCTGGAAACAACCCACATCACTCCCTGGCACCTCCCACATCCCTGATCTTGCTTGAGAGCTTTTCGTAAATCCATCATCCCTATAGTGCCGGCCCATGTGCAAGCTGCCATGACCCACTATGGCTTGAATGGCAAATGTGTTTGCATGTTGCCAAGACCTTCGGACATGCGACCTCTCATGGAGCTGCAAAGCCTGGTTTGCTAAGAGATCGCAGGATGTTTCCTCAATTAGACATCCCAGATTGGGACCTTGGCCCCCAGGCGCATACTTTGCCTTGGCCAGGAAGGAGGTCAAAGGCAACTCCGGGCGCATGATGTGGGTGTCAACCTCAGTACGAGCCATTCCTGAGCCGCCGAAATTTGTGTGTCTCTCAACTGAAGCGCTTTCTGTGAGAGTCTGGAAGGGAAATTACAAGGAACCCAACCGTTGGGAAGGTGACATACTCACTGCCAAACAGGGGCAAGCGAACCCGCCCGATTGGCAAGCCCTATCGACACCACCACCACGACCTTTTCTTCAGTCAAGGCCACGAAACATTTGTCTCGATAGCTTCCTGACAAGTGAATTGTCTAAATGATTCTGCTTGTGATCATTCGAGACTGGGTGGTACGTGAGTGCCTTAGGGACACTTTAGGGATGAACGTTGCTAATTAGTAGTTGCTAGCTGCTGTTTGGCCTAGTGACAGGATAATTCTATCACACACAAACAAACAAACCGGCACCCTCATTGTCTCTGGAAATGGGAGGGGGCCGTTGCCAGTTTTGAGGCAGCTGGACAGGTTCTGAAGGAATGCAAGGGTGGAACATCCGCATTTCTGACTCTGATTGCCTGTCACAGCCATGATTTATACAGCTTGGAGGAGGCGTCTTTGCCTGCAGAAGCAGCTACAACAAAGCTTGACATGATTCAACCAGAAGGCCTCAGGAGGACATTGAACATGGATCGTACACAAATACATAAATAGCGCAAAAGCAAAAAAGTATTGCAATTGGCACAGCAAGACCACACCGTCCGTCCCCAGAACTGGGATGTGTGTGTGTGTGTGTCTAACTGATGCAAGCCACGAAGAAGACTGTCATGGATTCTGGAAACGATGGAGGCTTCCTGGCAGTATGCTGCGTCGGGACAACCATACAACATTTGAAGACAGAGATGTCAGGACAAACGACTGCCTGCAATTGATTCACGCACGCTGCATGATCCTCATGCGTCTTGC